AGTAATTTTAATTTACTTGTGTGCAGTTCGTATGGAATTTTCCACTGGCTTTTTAACCAAAAGTAAGTTAGTTGTACCCAACAGTAGGTAAATATGATTATACTCAACGTTGGGTTCCCACACTTTACTACCCCTGTTGGGTGGTTTTGCTCCTTCGTTTTTGACAACATTAGTAGGAGAAAAGGAGACAAACTAGTCAAAAGTAGGTAAAAGTGAACTGGCCGTTGGGCACTTTTTTCTTACCGTGTAGATACAGCTACAAGCAGAAGCTTGCAAAATTGTTTTGGAGAGCGTTTACTCAACTTTTTCACAACCATTATTCAATTTGTCAGACGCACTGGATAACATCACCCAATAAACGCTAATGTAACTTCTATGCAAATATTAATCAACTTTCAACTTTTAGCTTCAAAACAAAGCTAATAAAGCGAATATATTACTTACTTGATGACTTTTAAACAAGCAACAACTCTAACTGAATAACATAAACATCAAAAGTGCTTTTTCAACAACTAAAGGGTGTCCACGATGAAATTGCCACACACAAAATTGATTCGCAAAATTCGAGTTTTCATCCGATTGCCATCAATTTTCAGGGATTGAGAAATAACTATTAAACTTCATTTTACCATTTTACTCGTATTTTATTTACAGTCCATACGCAAATGCCCGCACCTTGGCCTTAACCCCGGCCATAAGATTCTGCACAACCTGTGAATCAACCGTTTTTTGCATGTAAACCCATACTTTCTTCAGTTCCTCGACTGTCTTCACTACCTTAGGTCGTTTAAGAAGGTGCTGCTTTTTTAAGCGCCCAGAGGCACTCTTTTATGTACACCTGTCCGTTCATCGTGTCCTGGGTCACGAAAGGTGCACTCCGCTTCCCGCACGTGCAGATGGCTTGCCAAACCAGGAATTTCTTCGCAAATTTGGACATCTTCTGAGTGCGGACATGCTCCGGAACGCTGAACTTATCCTTGGCCGTGAAAAACAGGTTGCCGGGGATCTGTTTGAAGTCGGCCTTCACATATGTTTCGTCGTCCATGATGCAGCATTCAACTTTCGTCAGCATGTTGAGGTACAACTTCCTGGCACGGGTTTTGGCGGACTTGTTCTGCTTCTCGTCGCGATTAGGGGCCTTTTGTACCTTGAACGTTCGAAGCCCAGCCATAGTTTTGGCCTTCTGGACAAAACTTCGGCTTATGTGCAGCTTCTTAGCCACATCCCTAACGGAGGCGTTCGGATTTCGGTTGAAGGCCCCAACTACGCGGTTGTGATTTTTGGTGTTGTACGGAATACTTTTTCCACAGACAAACAGACGTAACTCTTCATTGTGTATCTTCGTTCATGCATTTAACGGTTGATTTGAATATTATCAGTTCCGCGAACTACTCGCCGCAGCGCTGGCATCGGATCACTTTGACGTTTCTATACATTCTATAGAACTTTTATTCAATATTGTTTACGAGTTAGCGAGCAAGCTTATTTTCCGCGAGAAGCCAGAGAGATGTCGTTACTGAGGTTATATGTTTTGAGATACTATGTTTTCAAGAACAAGTTTTTCAAAGAGTTACGTCTGTTTGTCTGTGCTTTTTCCTTCACTTCTGGGCTTCCGATCGGTGGTCAACCGTTCCTCGAACCGCTTAATCACTCGCGACACCGTGGAATTCGCGATTCCCAACGTTTTAGCGATGGAACGATGCGAGAGATCCTTGTTCTCGTGATGAATGCGCAAGATTTTATCACGCACGAGCTGTTCTTTCGACTCCATTTCCGCGAGTTTTGATCACAGGACTTTAAAACTTGCAGGATGTAAATAATGCACTAAGAACTAAATCCACCCAAATTTTCATTAAATTCTACCCAACGGTTAAAAAGTTAGAGCAATTTCATAGTGTGGCAATTTCATCGTGGACACCCTTTAAACAACCTTTACTCAACTCATTCAAAAAGCCAGCGCCGATGGTGTAGTGGTAAGCGTGACTGCTTTCTAGCATCCCGATGGGTCTGGGTTCAATCTCAGCCGAGGTCGGTGGGATTTTTCTAAGGCATAAAAATCTCTGGTCACGTCTTCCTTCGGAAGGGAAGTAAAGCCGTTGGTCCCGCCTCATGTGTGTTTGAGAATGGGTGCGATATCCTACGCAGGTCTGGAAGCTGCCTTCCTGCACATTCGGTTGCCGTCAATGGATGGCAATCGATGTCCGTCGGTGATTGGCACTAGATTGCGGAACAGAGACCGACGTTAAATAAAGGAAAGACATTTCAACTAATTCACTGTGTTAGCGCTACTTTGGAAGCTATTTTACAGTCAACTAGGTTTATTTTTAGACTTGTGCAGTTTTACAGCTTTTACTCTGCTTCTTTACAGAGCTGAATTGACTAGTCGAGAAAAGTGATTCATGTGCACTATTATAAAGCCTCTACTCAGCAATCTTGTTGTAGAAAGGCTTGTTAATTTGTTTACGTCAGTTCAAAGTGTTGGCGTAGCTAAGTTAATGCGATCGTCTCGAGTTCAATTCCAGGTTCCGGTACAGTGAAAATAATTTGGTGGTGTGCTTATAAATAATTTCGATTAATTTAATTCACAGTAAAATAAACATGATAAGTTCCTCCAACAAAAAAAAAAGCGTAAGCAATATTTAACATAGCGTTAAGAGAAAGTTGTGTAGTGATGATTGAATAATCGGGTAAAGGTTGAGTAAGCGCCTTTCAAGTTCACACACAACTAAACAGCAGGATAACAGCTGTGTAGAAGCGTGAATAGATATGCAATAAAAGCTTGTCCTAACCGTCATAACAGCCATAAGTAGCTGACTAAGTTCGCCAGATTTGCTTGTAAAGAGGTTGAGTAAAGGTTTTCTCATATCGTATAACATTTGAATACAGCTTGAGGCTGTATAAATGAAATGAGCAAAGCGTTTACTTTGCGAAAATTGTTAGTTGGGTGGTTGACCAAGAAACAGCCGACTGTAACATTGCCATCGATGGAGGCCGAGCTAGTGGCGCTCAGCGTAACTGTATGCCACGGTATCTGGATGCAGCGATTATTACAGGATTTGGACAAAACGCTGGAAGAACCTGTAACCTATTACGAAGACAATCAGTCAACCATCAAAGTAGCAGAGGACGAAAGAGACACGGGTCGTTTGAAGCATGCAGATGTGCACCGCTTCATGCGTGAGGTGATTTAGCGAGGACTAGTTGTTTTGCGAACCGACCGTTGAGCAACTTGCAGATGTCATGACCAAGGGATTATCACCAGGAGTGTTCCAGCGACATCGAGCAAGGCTTGGACTGGTGGTCTACGGGAGTTGAGCGAGGGTATTGAGGTGGACAATCCCAATGTGCGTGTAAAAAGTATTTTTTTTTTGTACCTTAGGACCATTGTATATTGTATCAGGTTTTCATATAACTTTTCAATTTGTTTATTTAACTGTTCTATTTATAAAACGGACAACAAAAATTATGTGTCAATTTTTGATTTTTCATTATACTCGTATTGTTTTTTGGGACATTTACAGATTATGATCCAAAAATATGTAATGCTTAAACTAATGATAACCAGACGCATAACATTAGAATGAACAATCAAAGCAAAACTTAAAAAAAAATGATTTGCAAAATAGGGGAATTTACGTATTCTCGGCAACCTAAGCAGCAACCTTCTTTCTATAGCCTTTTTCTCTAAGGAACGCACACATATGCAGTATTGGTTTGTTTACAATCTTTTGCTGCCAGCTGCTCTAACAACTTCAGTCGAAAGAATTGGCAAAAACTGTTTTGAAACGCTTTTACAAAGCTTCAATCTTCTCTAGTGAGAGCGAGTATTGTCGGCAACCAGTTTTTCTTCGGCAACCGTTCCATTTGAACTGCATGTAAATCTGCTGTTCTATTATCGGCAACTCGAAATCAGCTACAATTTGTAGAGCGTGTGTTTCATTTCAAGAAAACCCTGCTAGATTGCTTTTTCTCAGTGGTAAAAATATAGTCAAATTGAAGCTGAAAGCATAAAGAATCGTTTGCATGCATTGAGCGAAGTGTTTTCGTAAGAAAATCCAGTGAAAATAATGTTTCAATTTGGGTTGCCGAAAATAGTCTGGCATGCCGAAGCCTTCATTTCGTGATTTGCAAAATACCACAAAAGCAATATTTTGTTCTCGCGTTTACAAACAAGCTTTTTTCATTTTTTTTTTCATGGGATCCTCTTCCTACACTTGCGTAGCATCCCTTTGGTAAAAATCTCATCCTTCACACCTGTCAGTTCACTTAATAAGAACACAATGTGATAAAAAGTGTATTAACAAAGTCAATAGTCAGAACTAAATTTATTTAAAGTGCTCTCAAAGTATATATTTAATTAAAAATTGATGAAAACTATGACTGAATAGCTTAAATTTGCAGCATTAGGAAAAATCAGAATTTTTGAAATATTATTGTTAATTTTCTGAAGCTGTAAACATTGAGCGAAAAATGACACTAAAAATTTAACAAAATCGTCCATACACTTTATTCTACAAAAATTATTTATAATTTAAGTTCGTGCGTACCATCTTTTAGAAAAAAAAATTGACTTGACACAATTGCAAAATTCATCTTGGTGGTCAAGTTATTTTGACATGAGTATAAAAATTGAATTTTAAAGCACATGTCAAAATTACCTAGCGCCTCAAATATAATGCATATTTGTTTCCCATGTTGCTTACAAGTAGAGCTTAAAACTTGGCCAAGAAAGTATTAAGCTGAGTAGTCCCAAAACAAAGCTGTGACTTAAAGTGTGTGTCCGTTTTATAAACTGAGCACGCTTCAGTGCGACAAATTTTACAAAGGCTGTAAATTAAGCTTCAAATTTAATAGTACACATTTCGTAAAAAAAAAACTAAAATCTGCTCTCAAATAATCTATGATGTCCCTATGCTGGTTCACTTGTGAATCAAAAAATGCCGATCACTTCTGGATGGATGAACAATTCAACAATCATAACACACATATCCAATACTAACATATCCATTTGTTTTCCCTCCGTTGCATTCAGTTGCAGCACTCATTTTAGTCCACTTTCACTTGAATCAATTCACAAATTTTCACAAATTTCTCAACCGTCAGACACCTTCAAAATACACCCAAAAAAACTTCACTTCATTCCCGTTTTACTATCCACCAGAGACTGATTCGTTTCAGCCGAGGGTTAGCTTGTTGAAAATCGAATGATCCACTGACCCAACCGCAGTCGATCATTTATACAGCTTCTCTCTACATGTTGTTATACATATTATACTAAACAGGCATCATAGGTGCCTGAACGTACATACGACGTCCTGCCTTATCAATTTCGCTTCTCTCTCTCCTGCTTGTCGGGCAGCCATACATCAGAGTCCGATCGTATCGGTCACACGAGCCGAAAGTCAGACAAAATATCACCTTGCGTCTGGTTGACGGAATAACAGAGAAAGAATATTTTGGGTAAGAATTGGTTTCTTTGAAGTTCTTAGTACATAAATCTCGAGTCACTTTTCAAATAGACCAATCTAACATTGATCGATTCTCTTCATCGACTCTCTCTTTCGTAAATAACTCGGCAACAAAAACGTTTCCTGTCGTCTTTCTCATATTAGATGCTAGATTGATACTTCTTCCATCGATCTGTGTGTTTGATCCAAAGAAAAAGTCGATGAAGAGAATCGATCAAAGTAGATAGGACCTATTGAAAAGTGCCGCGAAAAATTTGTAATGTTCCTTTTTTGTGACGTCAAGATTTACGAGTCAAAGAGTATTTCATTCAAACTTTAGTATAGAAATAAAATCAACATTTTCTTAATCAGCGCACAGACTTCAATAACTGCTAAATCGTCCATTTAAATTGATAACAATTCTAATCTCGTCTGCTTGTTAAAGTCCTGTAATTCGACAACAATGGAATGCATGTCACAGATTTCTGACTGTTTCGCAGCCCCTATCGTATGGTCCCCTATCCAGATGGAAATTTCCTTCGCTGATCTCTCCCACCTCGCACCATTCTTATGTTCGAACCGATTGCAATGAATAACATCAATTAGCTATGGATGATGAAACTAATCTTGGAAACTTCTTGATAAGTACCTACTGATCTAGTTTGGACCGGCTCGCCGTCATCATTGCTGATATTGCGTGTGTATACAAAACACCCCACTATGGCTCCACCGGACCGAACCGATCAGCGATCTCCTCATTGTACGGCGGAGAAAGCCGATCGTGTCGACATAATCAGTTTAAGGGCTCGTGACTTCGACATGCGCTCGCTTCAATTCACTATCAGCGAACAGCCGACCCAGTGATCGCAGCAGTTGGAAGGGATGGTACCGATCCGAGATTGAACTGGTTACCGGCTTCTAAAGCTGACCGGTTAACTGGTCACTGTTTGAATAACAAGTTTGCATCAGCGTCCAAGTATCCGGCTTGAGGCGGAATCTTTGCTATGGTGAGGTGTGATTATTTTCCATTAAGTTATTTGTTATTTAAGATGACCCAGTGATATGGGCGATGGGGATCTTTGTTCTGAAGGGTGTAGTAAATGAATGACTTTTATTTTCCAGGAACTGTTTTTTACCAAGTCATGGCGTCTAATGAACGATTCCAACAGAAGTGATTAAAAGTTCTAGCTGATGACTGGATTCTAATCAGAAACATACGTTCGCTGGGCTCATGGTGATGCACTTTTATGATGGCATGCTCTAACCGGTGTTAACTTTCAACTTCAGTATGAAGGTTCTGTCAAAGTCTAGGTAGCGATTTTCATTAGCTACACCCAATCGGGAAATGTAAGATTCTATTAAAGTACATCGGGGCATGTTGTCGGTTGCATTTTCGAGTAGTAGTAAAATTGACGTTTATTTTCTGTTTTTTTTTTATGTTTCAACATTTGGTTTAACATTTCAATTGCCAATTGCCATCTTTGTTCTAGTTAATTGGTTATTCTAATGTGATGATTGCGTTTAGCGCTAATTTACAGAATACCCTTTATGGGATTGTTTTGGTTTGAATTAAAAAAAAAATTGATAACCTACCTACTTGAGCACAGGAACCTGCCTAACTACTTAAGAGGTTACGCCTACCTGCAAACTTTCAAAAAATCGATTTTTTTTTATTGTCCTAATCGAAAGTATATAAAGTCAAGAATATTTCCTCAAAAGATCAAGTTGATCCGATGAAAATTGTGAAAGTTATGCGACGTACAAAGTATTCACTTATAGTGGACTAAACCCAACTTGAAACTTTAAACGCGATTATCTCAGAATCATATTTTCAAAACCGGTGCCAAAAATTTCTCGAAATGTATACATTCGATTCGTCCGATTCGTTTTGATTTCTGTTCAGTAGTGTACTAGTAGTAGTACTAAAGGGTGTCCACGATGAAATTGCCACACACAAAATTGATTCGCAAAATTCGAGTTTTCATCCGATTGCCATCAAATTTTCAGGGATTGAGAAATAACTGTTAAACTTCATTTTACCATTTTACTCGTATTTTATTTACAGTCCATACGCAAATGCCCGCACCTTGGCCTTAACCCCGGCCATAAGATTCTGCACAACCTGTGAATCAACCGTTTTTTGCATGTAAACCCATACTTTCTTCAGTTCCTCGACTGTCTTCACTACCTTAGGTCGTTTAAGAAGGTGCTGCTTCATAATCGCCCAGTACTTCTCGATGGGGCGGAGCTCCGGAGTGTTGGGAGGGTTGAACATTTTCGGCACGAAATTGACCTTATTGTCCGCATACCACTTCAGCACGTCCTTGGAGTAGTGGCATGAGGCCAAATCCGGCCAGAAGATTGTTGGGACGTTGTGGGCCTTCAGGAGAGGAAGCAGCCGCTTCTGGAGTCACTCTTTTATGTACACCTGTCCGTTCATCGTGTCCTGGGTCACGAAAGGTGCACTCCGCTTCCCGCACGTGCAGATGTCTTGCCAAACCAGGAATTTCTTCGCAAATTTGGACATCTTCTGAGTGCGGACATGCTCCGGAACGCTGAACTTATCCTTGGCCGTGAAAAACAGGTTGCCGGGGATCTGTTTGAAGTCGGCCTTCACATATGTTTCGTCGTCCATGATGCAGCATTCAACTTTCGTCAGCATGTTGAGGTACAACTTCCTGGCACGGGTTTTGGCGGACTTGTTTTGCTTCTCGTCGCGATTAGGGGCCTCTGTACCTTGAACGTTCGAAGCCCAGCCTTAGTTTTGGCCTTCTGGACAAAACTTCGGCTTAGGTGCAGCTTCTTAGCCACATCCCTAACGGAGGCGTTCGGATTTCGGTTGAAGGCCCCAACTACGCGGTTGTGATTTTTGGTGTTGTACGGAATACTTTTTCCTTCACTTCTGGGCTTCCGATCGGTGGTCAACCGTTCCTCGAACCGCTTAATCACTCGCGACACCGTGGAATTCGCGATTCCCAACGTTTTAGCGATGGAACGATGCGAGAGATCCTTGTTCTCGTGATGAATGCGCAAGATTTTATCACGCACGAGCTGTTATTTCGACTCCATTTCCGCGAGTTTTGATCACAGGACTTTAAAACTTGCAGGATGTAAATAATGCACTATGTACTAAATCCACCCAAATTTTCATTAAATTCTACCCAACGGTTAAAAAGTTAGAGCAATTTCATAGTGTGGCAATTTCATCGTGGACACCCTTTATTTTGTGCAGTCCACGATCGTTCGGATTTCGTCTATCATTTAATTTCGATTTTTTACAGCCGATCAAAGACAAATTTTAAGGATCAAAAATTGGCACTTCAACTTTGCAAGGCCGCCATATTGTCAAAAAAATTAAAAAAAAAAACCGAACGATCAAGGACTAGTTTAACACATGCTTAACGATTTGGCATGGTTTTTTTTTTATTTCAGATGATTACATCACAAACCGCAGTTGGCACGGCAAAAAGTGTTTTTTAGAACATCGTCCACGGGGAGCAGCCGTGCCACTATGGGGCGGCTCCATACAAAGTGGTGGCCAAAAATATTTAATTGGTTTTTCCGCACTTTTTGATGGTATTATAGTAAGTTAAGCATAAAATTAGTCATATTTATGTATTTTCATCGCATCCGGAAGGTGTAACTAGTATTAAACCCAGTAATGAGCTACTTATTCCTGAACAATAAACTTGAAAGTTTGTTTTTAATTTTAGGGACAGTTCAAATGCAAATCAAAACTAGAATAAGGTTGCTGTGCATAAGATTAAATAGGAAATGTGGAAGTGGAAACCCTCCCCCCCCCCTCCTAGCCAAGACCTGACCCCTCCCCCATTTTTTTTTATATATGTGATATAAGAGTATTGTTTTACCAATCAGGTATTTTGATGAAGAATTATTTGTCTATCGAACCTCCCCTCTACTGAAAATATTTTTTCCGTCCAAATCTCGCATTTAGCATCATAAGGGCGTATCTGCATTGATCGATTTTCTCTTTCGTTAATAACTTGGCCAAACCGAAACCGATCGACGCAATTTTTGGACTGTGGCAAGATGTTATGATCAGTGCTGCGATTTGTCATTTTCATTGAGAAAACTTCAGTGGATATAGACAAAATTCATTTCAGCAGCAACACTGATAGAACTGAAAATCAAAATTTCCTTTGTCAAAATCTCACTCTTTTCTTTGTCAGTGACAAAGATTCCCTTGGTGAAAAAACTGTGAATTTGCGCATTCTGTGTCACATTATTGTTCTCCAGGCTGATAATGATGATGATTCGTATTCACTTTGATGGTTCTATGTAACTGTTTTGCTAAATTAATTTGATTTCGATAGTAATTCAGCAAATGAAAAAACTGCACATCGTCGTCACTGATAGTAATATCACTGACAATTGATATTGATTGCTACTGATGGTGACTCTCTGCTGAAATGAGTGACCAGGGTTGTTTTGTTATTATTAGTTTTTAGTGTCGAAATTTTGCAGCACTGGTTATGATCCTTTTCCGTCAGTAAAAAAAATCACGTCGATCGGCTTCGATTTGGTCAAGTTATTAACAAAAGAGAAAATCGATGAAGACAAATCGATCAATGCAGTTATGCCGTTATGATACTCAAGGCGAGAAATAAATTATTAAAGCTAGTCGAAAGGATCATTTTTTTTACTATGTTTCCATTATTTTTACTGAACACATATCAACATCGTT